TTGGCATTGAATGCAACCAACCCAGACAACGTCCGTTAGTCGTGCTGATTTCCCAAATAAAAACAGCATTGCAGACCGCTTAATACAAGCTATTTGTTATTATACTCAAAATATAGAACATGCATCGGACGCAATGAACAAAAAACAAAATATTTGAAAACTGAATTGAATTAAGCGTAGTGTGACTTCATGCATGACGAAACACCATGTATGTCTTGGTATTAATGTAAGGAAAATTTCATGACGACTTACTGCCGGTGTGGGAAAAACAAATGAATATTGAAGCCTACAAGGAGCTGTGTTTTCGTAAGACAATGAATCACATTTTACTAAGTATCAAAAGCTAATGATATCATAGGTTTATCTGGGCGCGTCAAGACATGGTGCTGAGATTTGGATGACTTTTCGGCTTTGTGCTTGTGACCGGCAAATTTTGAAGATTAGAGAGAAGAATGGGATATTGAATTAACGAATTAGTAGAGTATCCTCAAAAATAAATAAAGTCAGACTTTTTTTGGGATTACTTTTATTCTATTTTAATTTTTTTCTTCATTTTTTTAAATATATTTATTTAATATTGTACTTTTAAAATTTGACTGCATGAATCTCGAGGAAATTTAACAGATCGTGCAAACAAGTAGCAATGGATCGAGTCATCTAGCATCATTGCAGTCAATCGAATCATGAGCCGACCGAATGAAAGTTTGTCCGAACTAAAGAAAACTAGACATCTAGACCGATGATACCATAACTGACGCAATGGCACTGACAACATAAACAACCGCCTAGAGAAACTCCCAACATTACTACTATGAAGACCCGTCGACCAAGGGAAGATTGCCCATCATATTACAGAGATACACCCTTTGCCCGATGGAATAACCATTTCTGAGGAAAATGGGTCTTCACGAAGGACTCCTTCAGAGAAACTGACCAAAGATCTTTCTATCAGCGAATGATTTTTAGCTGACCAAATGAAAATTAAACGATCAAGTCGAACAATTACAAATATGAAACGGTGGTAGTGGTAGTTACAAATACGAAACGACGCCAAGAGCAGTACCAAGGTCAAAAGATGTCAAAATCGATTATAAATATGGAGAAGTGTAATTGTTCCTAAATTCATTGTAGCATTCTCATTAAGAATCGAGAATCATGTAATTTTTTAGACAACCCCTATGATTTATAATTAAAG